TTTTCACTTTTATTATATATATGTTTGCAGCCGCATGCGTTTGAACTGAAATGCAAGAAGTCTTAATTTGCTTACGTTACTTCTTAATTTATATTTCAATTGAATTTGCCCAATTAACTTACACATTAGGCAAATATTATTTTTCTTGAAATTAATATGTATGCATCATAGTCACTACGATTGTAAGAATGAGGTTTTAGGTATGTAAAGAAAATTTATTGAGTCCATAAAAGTATGATCAGGTCCAATTCCATAATCCTCTAGACTCTAAAGATTGCTTGTTTTCTTGACCTATCCTATCCTCGTGGTAAGCGGCAACTGAGAATTAACGACAAACGCAGTCCCAGAAAGTCAAAATCAAGAAACACTGACCACAAGCCTTGAAAACAAAAGGCCCGTGCCGTGCCCGCCATGTTGTTCTTGTTTATCCATCCTTGAATTGAAACTTCCACGTTCCAACTTCCAAGCCTGCTTCTTCTCTAGTTTTTTCTTCTTGACTGTTCTTTTCGACAGGGTGACTTGAAGGGGTTATTACATACAGTGGCGGACCCAGGAAAAAAAATTTATGTCCGCACAATCAGTGGCGGGGTTCGGGGGCAGCGCCCCCGAATTTTTTTTTTTATATAAAAGTTTAAATCAACGCTTGAACCCGCTCATAATCTAGTTGCTTCCATAACAAGCTGCAGACAATAGTTTGACCAATTATTTTCCCCCTAAATCTTATCAATCCTTCAAAACAAATATGAGAATATACTCCAGTACATCCATACATCATCATTCTATTTTGGGATATGTTATTTTACCTAACATTTTTCTGCATACCTTTGCCTACCACTCTCCAATACCGTTAGATCAAAATCTCAAGAAGAGAGAAAAAGATAAATGTTAGTTAAGATTCTGATCTAACGGTGTTGGAGGGTGGTAGGTAGAGGTAGGCAAAAAAATGGTAAGTAGAATAACCTATCCCTTCTATTTTATAGTGGTGAATAAAAAAGTTAACACTACCTGTACAGAAGTAAAACAAAATCACAGTGAAGGTCTCGTCTCTAGATATTAACTTATTTGAGAATGTCAGACCTACAATCAATCATCTCTTTTTATAAAAATAAAAAAGGAAACAAAGGATGAAGAGAACGTGGAAATGAGTACGTGACAAGGGAGGAAGAATAAGTTTTCTTTCTAATCAATGTGCGTTGTTGCGTTGTTTTAATCATCTTCGTACGTTATTACGTTGCTAACTAATATAAGAATAAATATCCTTTTTGGTCCCTAAAAAAAATTTGGTCCTCACTTTAGTCCATTATAAAAAAAAAATTAGTCACCTGATCGCTATAGGCCCACTTTGGTCTTTTTGTGGGACTAGTGTAGGTCTTTTTTGAATTTGTGATGGACCACGATTTTAATTAAATTGATCTACTTTAAATTTTTTAAGGACCTCGAGACTAATTTTTTTTTGTAAAGGACTAAATTGAGAATCATGTTTTTTGTTAGGGACTTAAAAAATTATTTACTCCTAATATATATATTGAATCAAGAGACAAATAACAATCTACAAAAAAAAAAAAAAAAATTAAAATCAAAAAGTTTATGACCGCACTTGCGGGCATTTGCCCGCAAGTGGGTCCGCCAATGATTACATACATCATTGTCAACTACCAACTTTAATTTAAATTATTTCGTAATAAAAATTCATCCATGCCGTTAACCCAAATGTTACTAACTTACTATAACAAAAGCTAATGCCAAACAAAACTTACACATAATTGTGAATGACTAGTCCCCCCCCCCCCCCGGTAAAATTGTTAATGACTAGTTAATTGAAACATTAATTGCGGTTCGAATGCTAGTTCAAATGCTGTAACTGAAATTCGTCCGGTTTTGTTATATTTTTTTACATGTTGTACAGTAAGGGTTCTACTAGCCCAATATATTCATTATGAGGGAGGAAGATCACTATATGGGTGAGTGACTAGCACAGGTACGGTACAGACCAAGCTAGCCAGCCACGCTTCAAGTATAGAACTACTATTGGGGGGGGGGGGGTGATGATAGTTAGTGTGTTACGAGTAGATGGTGCAAAAAGGTCAGAGAGTAACGGTACATAATACCCCTTTGCTAAGTGTTGTGAGAGAATTTGTAGGAGAAGGGAGAAGTTATCTCACACAGATAGGTTAGGGAGGTCACCTCTCCTTGGGAGCTGCAAGACGGCCTGCGCTCTGGCGATTACAGCGATGACACCCTCTGCTGGTGTGATGGCAGTCGCTGCTTTGTCCCTGCTAATGGATATCTTCTATTTAGGGATCTCTTTGCAGGTGTGTGATCCCTAGGTAAGACATTTAAGTGTCTTGTCTTGAGAAAACTCCTGTCGGGGATAGGAGGTGGAGAACATCACTTGTCTTTAGCTAATAGAGCTGACGTGGGCATCCATAGGCGATTGGGCCTGTGGTAATGGACTTAGGCTGTAGGACTTGTCTTTAGCTAATAGAGCTGACGTGGGCATCCATAGGCGATTGGGCCTGTGGTAATGGACTTAGGCTGTAGGAATTTCCCAGAACACATGCCAATTAAGATTTTTCAAATGCTTATTTATATATATTTTTAATCGATGGTAAGAATATTTTTGAGTCACTAATAGATGCTAAGTAGTATTTGGTTTGTTTAGTTAATATGCTTTTATTAATAATTATAAAAATGTCGCTTTATTTGTGTTATATTTTAAATTCTTAATGTTTTGCGTTAATTTTAGAATTTTATTAAAAAACTTAAAAAATAGTATAATATTTTTATAATTACTAATAAAAATATATCAACTCAAAATAAAATAACTGACAAATTCTCTCTCTCTCTCTTAAACAATCTTAATTTTCCGAAATGTTGGCATACTGGGATTGGGAGGGGCTAGGGAGCACACCTCTACAGACTACAATTACCAGTTTACTCTTTGGTTAAGCTTTTTTATATTAAACCTAAACTTTGGACTCCGTCTTTTTCCACCTTTCTCATTTTTCATTTATTATCGAAATATGTATTATTTGAAATTCAAAGAAAAATGTATATATATCTGCTTTTTATTGACTTTCTAATTTTTTTTATAAATACAATACAATACTTGTTTTGGGGCGGTTGGAATCGTTGGATGACTTTTTGGGAAAAAAAAACTTTTTTGTTCCTATTTATGTTAGAAGAATTATTTTTAAAAAGCAAAATTATTTTATATTTAAATGTGATACGTGAAAAATAGTTTAATTAAAAAATTATTTAGATATTAATTTTTTTTTTATGTATATAACATTATTAAAACAGATATGTAAAATAAATTATGGAAATAATATTTAGTGATGGCAAGGTGGTAGGTGATGGCGAATTGGTGATGATATAATAGCAGTAATGGTGACAACAACGACAGAGTTGATTGAGGTTCGGATTGAAATAAATTTGAATTTTGAAAAAAATATTTAACTTATAATTTATATTTTTTTTGAAATATATGAACAAAATTTAGCTTAAAAAAAGTAAAATTTTATCAAATGATAAAAGTTCAGTTGACGCCAAGAAACTGAGTATGTGAGGGTGATGGCACACATTTAATTCTCCTCAATACCGTCTTTAGAAGGGGTTTAAAGCTTTAATCCTCGAATCTGTCTCGTATCAGAGTAGTCGTGAAACGATAAATCAATTAGAATATAATATCTAAAAAAAAAGAGAATAAAATTTTAACTTTATTTATAACTCGTATTTTTAAAATGCTGACATCCAAATATTTATTGATTTATTTATTTATTTTTTTTAAAAGCTTTTGAAAAAAAAAAAACACTCGACCAAACGAACTGCTGGTTACTGGAATATGAAACCACAAAATACGATTTGTGGAAAATTGTTTTACTCTGTAAAGACTCCATTTAATGGGGGAAAAAAACAGAAGAAAGAGCAAAGACTCCATTCCAACTTTCAAGAGGTGGCGTCGAAATCGCATCTTATGTCCCTTAACCAAACTTGTACTTGGATGACAGTTCAGTAGTTGGTTGGTGGGTGGTGGGATATTTATTGAGTAGATGCTTTAGAAAGGAATGGTTGGGCGAGTTTATTTTATCTGGTTTTCCTTATTCTTTTCCCCACCAAAGATGTAAGAACCACAGTACGTGTTAATTACTTGGACTTAGGTGCTCCATATATGCTCACATGCATCTTTCTTCATGGGAATATTCTTTTAAAGTAAATTTATATTTAAAATAAGTAAAACGTATATAGTTTTTTTTATTTAGTTTAAAATAAAATTTGTTTTTAATATATTAAACTTTAGGAGTAAATATATTTTTATTTATTTAATTTAGAAATTTTGTTAAGAAATTTTTCCTTCCATTTTGTTTTATTATAATCTCAAATATACTCCGTCCTTCATGTATTCTTCCAAGGTTGGCTTGGCTTGCATGATTGACCCTAGCAAGTTTCACATTTCATTATACTTGCAAGTTGCAACTTACATGAATAAACAAGACCCGCTAAAAAACAAACCATAACATCTGTTTTGCAAACCAGGGATCATATTTCGGGTTTTAGGATCGTGGCTCAATTATTGCAGAACTACCTTGAACACTCAAGCTAAATGACCTTTCATGATCACTGATTAATAGTAGGATCAATTGCTATTTATTGATGTTCAAACTCCAAAATTAATAGTGGAGACGGAGACCCATTAGCTACTTAATGATAACATTCGATAGAGGACCTAGCACAATTTAAGACTATATACTATTTTGTGCACAAGATACAAACTACGGATCCAATTGCATCAAAATTTTAACCCAATAAAAACTTACATACATATACAATAGTGATAATAGTATAATGCAACCTTTTTTGTTTTCAATATAATTCACGTAACTGGTATTGTTAGATTGAGATATAGGCCTGTTAAAAGGCCCATGTTATCACATATAGAATTGTAAAGCCCAAGGCCCAATGATGTACACCCTCTTTTCCCCAGAGAGAGTGAGAAACCATGTTGTATAGTTCATTTCTCACTTTCTCAGCGGTTCATCGAAAATGCAAGCGTTTCGACGAATCACAACGTGTGTCTCGACGGCAAAGCAATTCAACGCTCTATCATCCACGGTTACCGGGAAATCCCGTTTCAATTCTACCGGCGAAGTTCCGGCGACGCGACTTTGGTCGTCGGGTCGTGATTCTCGGAACGGCGAAGACGAGTGGAACGAGGCCTGGGAATCGGCGTGGCTGCCGGAGGATCTTACGCCGAAGACCCGAGCGCCGTGGGAGACCGACGTCAACTTCCCTTCCTCCTCCTCCGCCGTAGCCGTTGCCGATGTCGACGTTGAGACGAAGGCGTTCGTGGAGGAGATGAACGAGAACTGGAACGAAAGGCGGAAAGGATCGAAGGAGATAAAGAGCGATGAGAAGGGTGCGCTTTACAGCTTGGAGAATATGAAGAAGGATTACCGGTTGAAGAAGCAGAGAATGCATGCTGGCTTGTGGATGAAGGAGATTGAGAAGCTTGAGGAGGCCAAATTGGAAGATTCTTCTGTGCCTGCTGGTGATGACATTCAGAGATTGCTTGATAGCTGTTCTGAGTATTCCTCTCTCTCTCTCTCTCTCTCTGTGTGAATTGCAATGCCTAGGACAGTGTTTTACCATCTAAAACCCTGAAACCTAAACCCTGGATGTTTATTTTATAATCTAAAACCACAGTTTGTCGTGTAAAGTGTTAAATTAGGGTACTGTTTTTGAACCTTGAAAGTATCTAATCAAGCATATTGTGTAATGTGTAAAGAACATGAGCAAGGAACATTATGTGTTTGATCATCTCAGTGTCTAATAATTGATCCTCTATTTTGTTTATTCTGTTGTGTACTGTGGACTGTAATTGACTAACTCTCCCAATAACTTAAGCTTTAGGTGAAGGCTTATATGAATTCATGATTGGTTTTTGTTCCGGGTATATACCTGGATCTCGTATCTGGGGCTCAGGTCCAAGGGGCTTCCCACCCGACCAGGACCCATCCGGCTAGGGCTTTAGCCCATGAACCTGGGTCGTGGGGCTGCACCCACGACCCTCTCCCCACTCTCTGATACCCACGATTATCCATGGGAAAACTGCTCTCCAAGACGAGTATAAATATATGAACAGTGTCCCAAAGGGCGACCTTGCATACACACATCCTAATACCCTTTCTATTAGAGCCCTTGATTTCACTGCATTCACAGATACACCTATGTTATTACACTAGATATCGGTGTTCACCCTTGAACAGTTTTATATCTCTAACTTGCCTTTCGTGCAAGAGCCTTTGCCTTGTGTGGAAATTCAACTTTTGCTTTAAATAAGTTCAGGGGCGGGGGGGAGGAGAGAAGGACTGAATTCCTGGCCATTTGGTCATAGAATATCTGATGCAATGTCAATGATCAACTCTCTTCATATCTTAAGCTTTATGTGAAAGTTCATGATTGGTTTTATATCTCTAACGTCTACCTTTTTTTTTAAAATGCCAACAATTTTGTATTTGCTTTCTGAGAGGTCTGGAGAAAATGTATCAAATGATAATCGATAAAGAAGTACTATTTTTTTAATTGATGGGAATAATAGATATGTTTTCTTTCAGTTCAGAATTCCTCTCATTCCTCTCTCTTTATATGGTTAGATTTATGACTACTTAACTTTTTATTTTTTTTTATTTTTATGTTGTTCTATTATTTTGTTTAGCACACACTAATCTAGATGTAGGCCCATGCTGTGTTATATACATCTTGGATTTCTCAGGGCTCTTGTTCTGTGTTTTTGTCCACATCCATGTCTCACAGTATCATAGCTATAGCCTATAGCATCTTCAATTTTCTCGAATGTCACACATGCTTTACTATTTGTGTATGTTGTACTTAATGCTCTGCACAACTGCAGCATTTTCGACTCTGGCAACAATGATCTGAACAACGCAAAAGCTCCTACTTCTGAGTTCAAAAACATGCCTGATGGATGGGAAACAATATCAAAAAATCAAGATGGAAATATATGGGAGATGTCCCAGAGAGAAGAAGATATTCTTCTCCAGGAATTTGAACGACGAATTGCTTATAGCAAGTTTCAGGTGCGTGTATAAAAAAAGAAAGAAAGATTGAAATGTTGCCTTTCTAATCTGAGCATGAAGCATTGATATTGTTTTTGGGAATCATGAAGTTCATGAATATATTCCTAGTTTTATATAATGTCAGTTATCTTGGCGTTTCTTCCTAAGTTTTTTTGTTTATATCATTAACGACTTTAAGAAATTTGTATGCAGATTGCTAGTTTTATCAAGACTCACATATTTAGCCGAAGGAGGCCAATTGATGGGTGGAAATACATGATAGAGTTGGTGGGACCTAATGCTAAGAGAGGGAAGGGTAGTGTTCCTAGAGTACCCAGTCTGTCTGATCCCTCTACTCAACCATTCAAGGAGGAGAAGACTTCAGTTCATAAAACTTACATTCCCCTTGAGGGAAGGTAGCTTGGTCGTGTAGTGTTATGTACTATTTTACAGTGCAGAGCTCGTTTCATTCAAAAATTGGCAAATAAAAGGACAGTTACTACTGCAACTTAGTCTTTGCTGATAACAGATGCTCTCCATGGTATATTGGTTAAGGTTCAAAACCGTGCATGAAGTCTAAAAGCAATCGACAATATGACGTAGTATGAACGTGGTGCCAATTAGTCGAACTCAATTTTCTATTTTTCCAACTTTAAAGTAGAATATTTAAACGCAGGCACTTGAAACTAGGGTTTTGCGGTCTGGATTATATCGGTTTTGAAAGCAAAAATTATTTGATCCAATTCCTTCGGTTTGATCATATAATCATCCATTCGGTTTGGTTTTTTTTTTCAAATTCGATCCGATCTGATCCAACTTTTTTTTCGGTTTGGATTGGATCGATTTTCGATTTTTTGAAAATCTTAAAATTTGTTTCGTGATTATTGTGCAAATAACATTTTTTTTTTGTATATATTAGCTTTGTAAACTCTTTTTTTTTAAATACAAAAGTATTAGTAAATAATAATATAGTTTTTTTTTGGGTAATGAGATATGGAGTTCTATACAGATAAAATTTTGTTGATGAGATGTGATTAGATATTTTCTTGGGTTTAGTTGATGGGTTAATGGATTTTGGGTTTAGAAATTTTTGAGCTATGATTAGGGAAAGATTCAAGTAGGTAAAAAAAAATTAATACATTGGATCGGTTTGGATTGGATTGATTTTCATCAACTAATTCGAAAATCGATCAAATCCAATTAAAATTTGAGATTTTATTTCGGTTTTCGTTTATTCGATTATCGATTTTTTGATTCGATCACCGCGGTTTGAATCGGTTAATGAACACCCTTACATGGAACTAATTACGAGGATGTACAGAAAAATATGGTTCATCCGTATAATGTGTTTGTAGCCATCTCTCTCTTTTTTTTAAGGTTTTTTGTAATGTATCCAGAAGAAGGAAACAACTGTTCTTTTTGGTACAGCAGATTGTAGGCAATCGCATTTGCAATGAAAACAATTTTATGTATTGTAAATTTTTATAAGTTCAAATTAGCTTCTCCTGCCTAGTTACGAAGAAAATGTTGACCTTTTATACAAAATAATTCATTTAATTTTTTATTTCACAGATTATCTATATATTGGAATAATATTTCCCGAAATATTCTAAAATCTGGCTTTTTGGGAAATCAGTTTTTCCCAAACTGATTTTCAAACAATAATTTTAGTTAAGTTTAATTTAAAATTATAATTATTTCAAATATATGTTTAAACAGTTTTTTCCTTCTTCTTTTTTGTAAATCCAAAATCGTAAATATTGAAGTGAGTATTGACATGTTCAACGTTCAGTGATCAGTGTTGTTTATATTCAATGACCAGATTACGTAATAAAAAAAGTTCTAATCTTTTTTTTTTTTTTATACATTGGTGAAAATTAAAAACATAACTTAATACAAACTACCCAAATTCCTTCCCACTAAACCAATCCTAATGACTTTATCTTTTTTTAAATACCTCCTTTTGATTAACATTCATAGGATTTTTTTTTTTAATAAAATAAGTTCATAACATTATGATGAAATAAACATTTCCCTAAATGATAAATGGTTAGCATAAGCACAATCAGTTTCTTCCTTTTCCTTTCCCCAGTTATGTGCTCCTAATCCTAGCTAGTTGTAAATCTGTTATCTGATTCTCCTTTGTTCTTAGAGGCGTGCCGTTAGACCTAGAGTAGTCTTTGGGTAAATTTTAATCTGTGTGAGAACCATTTTGTCGGCAGCAATTTGAAATTTATTCTACAGTTAGCAACTTATCATCATAAAGATAACAGAAACAGTGAAGACTCACTAAACCCCTTTCTTAGATATAGATATTAAATAGTAGGGGTGTCAAAATAGGTAGACACGACATGAATTCGACACGACACGAATTCGACACGACACGAATACATCAACACTAACACGACACGAATTTTTTGCGGGTTGACACGACACGACACGAATAACACGCAAAATAGGAGTCAAAATGGTAATTGACAAAAAAAAATTAAAAAAATGGATCGATATTAAAAAAATTAAAAAAATAATAATAAAAAATTAAAAATAAAATAATTTAAAAAAAATACGGGTCGACACGAACACGAATACATCAACACTAACACGACACGAATTTTTTACGTGTCATTTTTCTCAACACGAACACGACACAAATTTTTTTGCGGGTCAACCCGAACACAAATTTTTCGTGTCGTGTCGTGGGTCGACTCGCATATCAAAACCTATATTGACACCCTTATTAAATAGACTCAACTTGTGAATCTTTGTCTTACACCCCTATATAATAGAATTAATGACTACAACATCAACAAGATAACATAGAAAAAAATAGTATTGAACAATATTCTAAGGTGACGTACAGCTAATGGATTTCGTGTCGAAACTATGTTTAACAACTTGAAGGAAGAAACATAAGGGCATTTTCATTATTATGTCATGATATAAAGCTCTTATGTATAGGCTCTTGAGCGTTAGACTTTGGCTTTTGCTATGAATGCCTAAAATGGGTGGTTTAGTTGCATGTTTCTGAGTTCAGTCCAATTCATTCATATATCAATTTTAAATATCTGAAGCATTGCGTCTTTTCAAATAGGATCAAAAGAATAGGGGGTTGTTATGTTCTGGTCAATTCAATGTTTTTAGTTTTTAGTTCAGGATGAGTCCCTACTCACACGGTACTCTGAGAAGGTAGAGAAACAAATTAATATCAGTACTGTTTCAAATTCAAATATCATTCTTGTGCAGCGAACTGCAAGGTTTTATACTTAAATTTGTATTTCTTCCAGAGATTGCTAGAGGTTACTTCCTCAAGACAACACTAGATGCTTCTATTGAAACTTCAATTTTATGGCCTTGATTTGTTTGTGCCCAAGACCAAGATCAATAATAAACTAATATTGTTTTGCAAGTTGGTTGCTGAGTTCTCTTTGTGTTGTATATCATCCAGGCAACATTTCAAGAGGTATCCTCAGCCTGAAAAGGAATATCAATCATTTTCTCTTGTATACAACGATAAGTCCTTGGATTTGGTGCGTTTTCTTTCCGCACATTTATTATACCAGTTAAACCTTCTAGGCGTATAATAAAGATTGTCTAATCATTTTTGCTTCCATTGCTGATCTAGTTGTGAGAAGTTGGACAGAGAATTTTGTAAGTGATTGGCTAAGGGAATTTATACATGGTAAATTTCATTATTTGATACAACTGCCAATCTAGGGACAGATATGTAAGGACAATGATGAAGCTGAAATTTGATTTATAGGTCTTGTGGCTTTAGTTACTCGATGTAACAATCACAAATGAGGGGATACGAAACAGGATGTGCAAATTGTATGATCCAAATCAATCTAACAGCATATGACTCTTATTTTACTGTTATTCTTTGAAGAACAATGTTGGATGTTTATATCTTGTTTATACTCTATACAGTAGAAAACATTTCACAGAAGAACAAACCCAGAAGTTGTGGGCTGAAAATGGAACCAAAGTATTGGAGCGGCATACTACAGTTGCTTATAGAAAGTAGCTAAAGCACCACACGCTTCTGTTATTCGTCACCTATTGTATGGCTACTTTTAGAAACCTGTGACTGTGACTATTGTATTCTTTGTCAATGTACTCATTAACGTTTTATGTTACAATTGATTTTTCATTGACTAGAGATTAGTGGACGCTCCTGACCTTTTTGTCCTCTTTATTTGGTTGATTCAAGAGATCAAGTAACACCTTCATATTTAAATAAGCATTTCTCCCATTAACGACATGGTTAAGAATATTTTAAGTATAAATCATTCTACGCTGGTATCATGTTTAGGATATCTGATAAGCAAATAAAGGCTCACTGAGAAGTTTATCTCAAAGGATTTTATTAACCGATGACAAACTTAGGAGGGATGACCCACCATGCTAGATTTTATTTCCTAATTTTTTTTAAAATTTCTTGATATAATTCCTGCGGGCCGTACATCACATTTCAATTTATTAAACTGGCCAGAGTACAGTGTCAACTAACCCCAAACAAATTCACATGACCATTGATTGCCCCTTCCTATTTTATAGGGTCTCATGAAATATGCATGCCCTTTAGTTATATAATGTAATTTTGACCTGAGTTCTTGAAAGCATGTTTCCAAGAAGTTCAAAAGATCATAATTTTTGCCACTAATTGTTATAAGTGAGAATGCTCGAAGTGAGTATTGGAAGAAATTAAATCCAAAACTATTGATTCATTCAGTTATTGGGTTTAATTTCCTCCAATATCTCACATTCTGCGTGCACTCAATCAGGTAGAAAAGTTTTTTCAGGAATAAAGTGAAATACGCAAGTGAGAATTGGAGGAAATCAGTTGCATTTCTGAACTTTCTCAAAGAAATGGATTTGATTTCCTCCAATATCTCACCTTCGGCATCACTAAGAAAAAATATTTTAAAATTGGCATGACTCCTTTCATTCCCCCTCATTTTCTCTTCTTTTATCCTTGCTCTTTCTGTCCATATAATGAGTTTAACTTGAGGTAATAAATCAATCTGAACTAATCATATGTCTAATGAAAAATGAATGTCTAGGAAATTATAGCCACTAGGAGAGTTCACAAGTGACACACCATTATACAACTATTTAAGTATTAACAACTGTCAAAGTGACAAGAAAGAGAAATTTTTTAATATACATAATCATTATCAAAGATCATATGATTTCCATTCCTCCTTGCTCTACCATCTCTATCTGCCTGCATATTAATAATCTATTAGTGTTTTTATGATTTAAAATAAACATAAATGCATATATTGTCATGTCTAAATTACATTAGAAAAGGACTACTCGGTACATGCCCGGTAACTTCAGAGCTTGAAAATGACAAAAATAATTGTAATTTACAATTAAAATTTTTAATTGTGTCCCTATTGATCAGCTCTATATGATTTTTTTTTTAATTACAGTTTTTAAATCATATTCAGGTACTGATAGCAGTTAAAACTAAAAAAATTAAATACGGATTTATGAAATAATATATGTAATACATGTTAACTAAAGAAACAAATCTCTCCCTTCTTCATAATATAACTCCTAGGAATTATAATCTGTCAATGTATTTTTTTTTTCAAGATCAACGTGATCCTTTTAATTCATAATCAAATGTACAAATTTTATATATTTGAAGTTGTCCACAGCTGAAGGGTGTGAAAGTTTTGAATTCTATGCTATGTCCAATTCTCTAATAATTCTAAGCAATGAAAACAGTCCCAAAGCCTAACTTTATCAAATTTATTGAGATTTGCTTAGGAAATGTACATACTAACATACAGAAAAGTTGGGCAATATGTGTACCTTGCTTATGAGTCTTTCAAATGCTTCAGTTCCATGCTCTTCCATGTATCTCTCAGCAGCAGCAAGAACATCATCCTGCTTAGAGAACAGGTTCTTTCGTGGAATAAACCAGATCTGAGAAGTTTGTGAGATTTGCGGCATTCGTGGGTTCATATAGAATGGTCTAATGTAGTACCTATAAACATGTGCTGCCCCATTAAAGTGTGGCAGAACCAACCAGCAACTGAGTATCAACTTGGCATAAGGCCAAATGGGAAGCCTGAAATTAGTAACGTGATTAAACTAGAGAACTACAGTCTATTTCAAAAAAAATAAAAATAAAAATTCTACCCAAGCAGATATTGTATGTATGAATATAAAATTTTTCCTTCAATGACAAATAAACAGGGAAAGCTGTCTTATTAACGGACAAAGTACCCAAAATACAAAAAAACTGGGAATAAAGCAAAGTTTTCCATAACTTGCGTGACATTACAGCATAAAAAATTCCAGATTCCTTTGTTAACAATGAAGCTTACAGTTCAAGAACTTTGGCAAATGTGAGCTCGAAGAGTGTGATCAAAGAATAGAGAACCCAATAAGTAAGCCATTGTTGATCATCAATACTAGACCTGGTCTCTATGGCCTGGATTGAAGCATACCTATCACAAAGACCAAAGAGATGCGTCGCACAAACTAACATATCAAGACATAAATTTGCTTCGCTGTAGTACAAAAGTAACGAAACAAAAGCATACTTACAAAGGGTAAACGAGGGTGACCAAAGGCCTGAGGACAGAAAGAAAAAAAAGGAAGTAAAACAAAGGAATGTAACTCAGATCAAAATGATTCAGTGTAACAAGAGAAATTTTTTTAAAAAAATTTATCAGAATCTGCATCATATTATAGCATCAAAGCTTAGAGACAAAGTGGAAAAGAGGCATACAGAGCAAGAACATCGAAGTTCTTGGCGAGCACTTGGAAAAGATTGTTGCCAGAAGCACCCATGTCTTGCAATGGTGTTCTGTTTTCTTTCACTTGGTTCTGGACAAGTGAGAAGGGAGAGGCCTCAAAAGAAGTGACAGTAGAAAGTAGCCAGATAAAATGCGGGAAAGTTGACTATGGGGTCCATACAAAAGACACTGATTTTTCACGACGACAATTGTGGCACCGAAATGTCAAGTTTTTTTTTTTTTTTTTATTATTATTATATTAAATTTTTTAACCGTATATCGATGCATTTGGTAATGGATTGTCAAAATTGGAAAAGTGACCAAAATGTCACTCTTCACCTATTTTTTTATTTAAATGCCACGCTAATAATGTTATTTCTCAATCTGTCACGGGGACAAGTTTGCTACCGGTGTAGCGAACTCGGTTTGCCGACGTGTCACGTTTTTAGTAGACACCAAATTCGCTATACGGGGTAACGAACTTGATTTTAACCAAAAGGTAGCGAACTTCATTTTTTTTTTTTTTTTACTTGGTACTTGTTATTCACTAGAAATGTGGCACATCAGCTAACTGAGTTCGTTATCCGCTGTAGCGAACTTGCTCCCGTGGCAGATTGAGAAATAACACTGTTCGCGTGGCATTTAGGTAAAAAAATTGATGAAAAGTGACATTTTGATCGGTATTTTGTCAAAATTTCACGAGATTTTGAAAATTTAGTATTTATCACTCGTTTGTATAGATGAGATTTTTTTCTCCCTTGATGTGAATATTATAGATATTATAAAAATATTTGTAAATATTTAGAAAGAGAAACCTCTCTATGCATTGGTAAGAGTTATCTACTTATCTATCAGCCGCGCATCTCTCATTGTTATCTTAAATAAATATTCAAAAATATTTTCTCACGTGTCAAAATAATAATTTATAAACTTAAGAGATGATGTAGTTGATTGATTGTACCTGACTCTTAAGTTTTTTCTTATTATTTTCTCATACACGATATGCCCGCTCGGCGGAGGCATATGATTTGTTGTCAACATTGTTCCTTCCAGAACAAGTGGTGAATGTTACATATGTCCTTAAAAACATATGAGGTAATAATTGATAGCAAAAAGACAAATCAAGGTGACTTGGGTTACTCCATTACGTGTTGGGCCTATAACATTGGAATGTATGCTTCGGCTCTTTGATTGAATAAATCTTGATCCAGTTTATAGCTATATAAGGAGTAGTTTGGTTATATTGGTCTTGGGCCTGGTGCTGTCGTTTAAGTAAAGAATGTTATTTAATTATGAATCATATAACTTGGAAAGGTATAAAATATTTTTCAATTTTTTTTTTGGTAAATATTTTTCAATTCTACCTCTGCAATTAAGTTGTTGGTGACATCAGAGGGATGTAATCAAGAATTTAATTAGAGTTTGTTGTATTCACTCGCACACAGCTACGCCCCTAGAGAGAACAATAAGTCAACACTGTGATGGATAGACTTTAATGGTAAAATATGACGACAACAACAAAAATCAACACTCGTTCGATCCTGTGACTGTGACCATATTATGAACAACCATGGCAATTTCTTTAGGAGGGAATGTCTCTGCCTAAAAGCTAAGCTACATAGAGGATGATTGCTTAATTAATACAATGTTTTCAAGACCAACCACCTACTTTTATTTTTCTTCTAATTACGCGTGACAACCAATCAGGTTTCAACGATCATGGTTAAATTGTACATAGCCAGGTTGTACGTTCAGCAGGTGTTTCTATTCTTTTGTTCCTTCCTCTTCACATCCCTTTTACGACTTTGACAAGTAATTAATTAAACAAAAAGTTAAAAGTTAAAAGCTAAAATGATTTCCAGCTATAACAGCTACACAAGCCACAAATGTGAGTTTCACAATTTTTGAATAAATAATTAAATTCACCAACAAATAATCAATTATTAATTTAAGTTGCAAGGATTTTGTTTTCTTTAGTTAAAGATTTCGAATTCGAGTGATTTTCATGGAAAAAATGATATTGAAAGAGTCACCGCCCCCTAATATGGATGTGACAATACTCGGATCAGATTAAATCGGATTAGATAACAAATAATAATTAAATTTAAATTGCATACAGCCCTAGGTAATTATTAACTGATCCCCATGCTACGACAATATACCATTATATGCTTCGTTGGCAGCAGGTCCTCTCAACATATTCAATTGCTATACATAAATTGTGATATCAGGCAAATAATTTATAGGATTAATGTCTCTTTTTTTTCTTCAATATGATCTCATATTCTTTTACGTATGTGTAAGAGATAAAATTATCTCATATAACATAAAAAATATTAATTCATTAAATTATGAGAAATTTTTTTTATGCTACACTCACAATACATGAGTGGGTTTCATCTTGACTTTTTTGTCTTATCACCTTTTTGTGACCCCACTCATGTATTGTGTGTGTAACATGAGAAAATTTTGTCATGTAAAATGAGAAAATCAATTCCCTTAAATTATACACTGCGCCTCTGTTTCTTTTGAGCAATATATATATCAGCAAAGCAAGGAAAAAAGTTGTGCCAATTATGTTTGTATATTGAGACAGATTTGTGGGTGGTTGGAGAAAGATACATTCATGCCTGATGAATATTGAAATTATGCCTTAGGCCCCACATTCTGATCGATCTAACCGTTTATTTAGGTGATCCTTAATGAGTTTCTGTTTCTATTCAAGTTTGTTTTCAAATTAATACAGTAACAGCATTGAAAAAAAAGGGATGGGTATCTACAGAAGAATAAAGAAAAACTGCAGTACAGCCGAACCTATATATATATGAGATGAGATCAGAATTCAGATGTACACAGTTCCTTACGCGCGACAAAATGCCTTTCCTATTGATGAATGGAGCAATGGTGAAGAGTTATAAATTCAGTAAACACTTTTTTTTGTTCTTAATAAAAATTATAGTTTTCACTTTAGTCTCTTACAAAAATAAATTAGTCAGTTAGTCCTTAACAAATTCAAAGTGGACCTATTTAGTTGAAATCGTGGTTCCTTACAAATTCAAAAAAGATCAATATTAATCCCTCAAAAAAATATTTTTTGTTAGGGACAAAAATGATGTTTATTCTTATAAATTTGAACAAAGCTTCAAATTAGCAATACAAGACGTGGAATTTCGTTAGAACTTAAAAATGATGTGCATAAAGATTAATCGCTTTGCCCATCAAAAGAAAATTTATATTTTTTTATAGAATGATTTTAATACTTGAATTGTCAATTCTCAAGATATTAATTTGCCTACTACAAGTAAACCATTTTATATTTTTGTCCTTTATATTAATTAGTTGTTACGAAACTCCACACCATTGAGCACTTCGTGGAAAATTTTATAGATAAAAGGTTCCTTGTTACTTGTCTACATGTGTTTCTTAACTTGTTAATATACTTTAACAGTTAACAGAGATACAGTAATCCATACCCAAATGGGTTCATTTTTTTTTATTATACCACTTCTAATTATTCTTCAAAATTTATTTTGAAAAATAAAAAAAATAACGACTGCAAAAGATACAATAATATAATATTAAAACGGGTAGGATATAGGGTAAAGTACATTTTTAATAAACTCTTGAATTAATTATTCAATCACATATAACTAATCACAAACTAATTTGTAATCCAAAAAAAAAATACAAACTAATTTAATTATTTATTCTGTTGATCTAATGCGAATTTTTGGTATTTTTTAAATTAGTTTAGTTACAGTAAGTAATTTATGGAAAATTTAAAATTTTATAATATATTCTATAATTTGCTTTTAGCGTACATTTTGAAGAAAAATATGTTAGAAAATCAATTTGCTATATTTGGCATGTAATGATAATAATATACTCTATTTGAGTGTTGTTATAATATGTCGTGATCTCAATTTGTAATATATGATCTAATATATATATTTTCTATTGAACGATATGCTTCAACTTGAATTGTTTATTTTAGAGAGATATGATATAAAATAATTGATGAACCTTCACTGAATAGCTTAAGCATAGGTAGGCGGGACCTCATGCATTGTTCATCCTTCAAGTCCAATGGACTTTCGTGTGAGGTGACGTGTTAGAGAGATATAATATAAAATCATTGAAGGACCTTCACTTAACTGTTTAAGCATTTGAGTTGAATTGACGCTTTATAGTTTAAGTGTAAAACTTGATTAAGAATGTTATTATTTTTAAATTTATGATCAATAGGGGTATTACATATTCTTATGCACTGTATCATAAGTTTGGGCAAAAGGAAATTAATTTTTGTGAAATAGTTTTCATAAATTAGTATAGGTTATTACCACCAAGTGGAATTACTTGTATTTGTTTATTAACTTGAGGAATGATTTCGGTTATTTAATGCACTTTTCTTCCCAAAGGATGTGATTGTATGTTATAACTCGGAACTTATGAACTTGTATATGATGAAGTTATTCAAAGTGCATTGGCTTAAGTGACATGTTTGTACAAAAAGGATAGATCTCTGGAACCAATATATGCTCACTAAGCAATTTTTCTTTGAGTGTTATAGAGATGAAGTTATTAGAGACTCATTGGTATTGAGAATCTATCTATGCAAATGTGATGGATTTTCAAACAGTGTTGTGCTCACTAATTAACTCGTATGCGGTCTTGACTTTGATTTTTGCATTCTTTCCAAAATGGAATGTACAATTAACTCATTCAAGGTTTTGCCCTTAGTTTGTGCCGTGGTTGGTATTATTAAGATATCTTGCTTTAATTGAAGTTGTATATAGTCATATAATTTATTCTAATATACTCCTATTTTGCCTTAATATTGAATTTCTCTGTTAGTTCTTTTAAATGAATTTAAAAACATGTTTGATTCGTTTTGAATTCAATATTCTAAAATATTCATTTAAATTTCAACATATATAAATATTTATTTGGAATTATTAATTTGCTCTTATTTACGTTTGATTTTGTGAAAAATATTTTTATATTTGTAAATTTTAATTAATAAAAAATATTATAATTTATGGTGATTATAATGTCACTACTCGCTCTCCCTAATCTAGCATTTTTTGAA